ACGGCTGCTGCTGGGCGGGAGCTGCCGAACACCGGCCGCAGGGCGTCCTTGCTGGGACAGCAGGGCTCCCCGGCAGGGAGCTGCGTCCCGTGGTGTGAGACGAGGCGGTGCTGGGAGCACTGAACACTTCGGTGGCTTCACAACGTCACCTGAGATTTCGACTTCCAAATTACGCTGCCTGGCAGGCACCTGCCTCCCGTCCTCCTCCTCGCGGGAGAGGGAACCTAAGGGACCGCTCCTCCCCACAGACCACAGGGCTGGGCAGGAGGAGGGCGGCTGTTTTAGAACCCCCCTCTGCTACCACCCACATCTGCTGACCAAGAGACTTTGTGGGACCCTCATGATTTTTCCTTCCCGATTCATGGGCTTTTTGTGACCAAGGGGAAAGGGCACATCTTCCTCTTCCCAGTTTCGAATGCAGCTGGGCCAGAAAATGTTCTTTCCTTCAATAAACCCCTTCCTTGAGGGGTAGTCCGGGTGCTTTCCTCCTCCCACCCTTAGCAGGAGCGAGAGAAACCTACCTCCGCATCCCCTTCCCGCTCCACAGGGAGACGTGCCCCTTCTCTCTGGTGACTTCCCTGCCCAATTTCAATAGCACAGGGACTTTATCAAGGCTGCACTGAGCATCCTTGGGGTGCAGGTGGCCTCCCTGGCTACATACCATGTGCCCATGCACACACACACACACACGTGCACACTCACACTCGCACACGCACCACCCGGTCCAGCCGGGGAAACCAACAGAGCGCAGGGCGAGGGGGTTTGGATGGTCGGTCTCGTTGGGTGTTACCAGTACGGGGTGGTGGCCAAGAGGATCTGCAGAGCCATGGAGAAGCAGGGCAGCTGCGCCACGCTGTAGGCCACAGAGCGCGTGGGCGCCTTCAGCCGCAGGAGGTAGGCGATGGTGTGGATGATGCGCCCCACGCAGAAGATGAAGAAGTGGATCCTGGCCACTGTGGGACTGGGATCCAGCAGGGAGTAGATGGCTCCGAGGAAGAGGAAAGGAAAGATGTTCTCCATGTCATTGCGATGGGCCCTGAAAAGGGAAATAAGGTTGCTCCTTCCCACCAGTCTTCCCTGCTGTCTCCCATCCCTTCTAGACAGCGTGCCCATCGCAGGGTGCTGCTGGCCCTCTCCTCCATTGCATGGGGCAGACGCAGCCCCCAAAAGAGCCAGGTCCGCCCTACACAAACAGGCAGCAGGATTTTGCACCCGGTGTCTCTCCCTTGGGATGCTGTGCTCCCGAAGCTTGCCCTCTGTGACTGGGACGCCTTTGCCGCAACAGATGACAGCTCGAGGATTACAGCTTTTAAATAAACAAAGCAAAACAAAGACCCCGCAAAGCTGTGAAAAGCTCAAAGCTGGTGCGGTGCCAGCATGGCACGGCCCCAGATGTGGCCACGTAACACAACAATGAGGCAGTTTCCAGAGGAGAAACTCTCAGGATGGGAGGGTTCGTGGCTTCGCCCCTCTCCGTAAGTGCATCCAAAGGGGACTGGGGAGGAACGCCCCAAGCATCCCTTGCACGCCTGCGCTGTGCCAGCAGCACCTGCTTAATTGCACCGTAGTCAGGCTGGAGGGACTGCGGTGGCCTCGTGAGGACACATTGGCACTGATGGGGCCAAACCCTGTGCTCCATCTGAACGCTCGCCTGCCTGGGTGTCACAGCATCACCTGCCACCGCTCGCACGGCACCGCTACCAAAACAGGAGTGGATCGTGCCATGAGCGTAGGCTGTGTCCCTCCTCCCCCAGGCACCATCCTTCAAGGCAGCGAAACCGGTCCCCAAAGCAGCGAGGCTGTCCTCACCCTCCCACCGCTTCTGCCTCTCCTTCTTTTGTACCCTTGCAACGCAAGAGCTGCTTTCTGCAGCACAGACCCACGTCCCCGTGCTTCAGTGGGGGAGCTCTCTGGTCGTGCCCTGGTCGGTGGGGACAGATCTGGGCTGGAGAGTGACCCAGGCACAAGGCTCAGTTGCCTTTTCCTCATATGTCTGGAGGTTTGAGAGGCAGAGATGAAGCTGCCCTTGCTTCCCCATTCCTGTGCCCTGGGATGTTTGAATGTGCACAAAGCCAAGAGAAAATTTTAAGCATTTCTTCCCTGAAACAAATGCCAAGATGCCTGTGCTCTCTTCTGCACAAGCTGAGAAATGGCCGGGAAGTTTTAGGATGCTCAGTCACAGCTCATTAGTGCAGACACAGGCTGGGATAGACCTGGCTGAAAACTGACTTTGGAAAAGAAAGAGAGCTGTGTTTTAAGCCCTGTCTCCTGCCCCTGGGTTCAGGTCTGTGGAGCAGGAGATGTCCCTGCGTCCGCCTTGGCAACAGCCCCACCAAACACACCAGTTTCCTCAGGCCAAGGTTTGCCAAAAGCTTCTCCATCAGAAATTTTCAACACCAAGTACCCAGGTTTTTTGGAGGGTGGATCGGTCTCTGAGGAGGGAGATGGAGCAGGAGCCACAGGGAAGGGCCCTGGTCACCTGGCTTGCCCCAGCCCCCTTCCCCTCGCTGCGATGCCAGGGATGGGGTCATGAGCAGAGGCTCCAGGTCCAGTAGCTTGTTCCCATCGCCACGTCACACAAAATGACCTGTGTGCTGAACGCCGGCCAGTGCCAGCATCCCTCTCTGCCCTCTTCCCGCACCAGAGCCCAGGCCAGGCACCGGCTCAGCAGGGCCAGGGCACCTGCGGGTAAATATTGCACCTGGGCCGTTTCCAACCCCGGCTTTGCTGAAGGCAAACAGGCACCAGAGCAAGGGGCTTTCTCCTACCTGCTCTTTCCACCTCCATGGGGAGCAATCTGTAGCTTAAGGGCCACGTCCCCAAGTAAGGCGGGGAGGAACATGGCAAGGAGCCTGCTGGAAACCCTGTTTCAGCTGCTCTCTGGGTGTGATTTTGGGACAGCATGGAGAAACTGGCCTAGAAAAGACACTAAAATGAGTCCTGCTGTTGTAGCAGCGATGCCAGGAGGACTCGGTGGGGGTGAGCCGATCAGAGCCCGGACACGGAGGAGACATATTCCCTGCCAAACCCGGGAGCGAGGTGCAGGGCTGCGGGAAGCTCTCTGCTCCTCCTGGCCAGATGGTCGCTGGGCAGAGCCAGCCCCTTCCCAGGCACGAGGACGGGCTGCTGCCCACCTGCTCACAGCCCCTTCCCTTCCCAGCCCAGGGCCCTGCTTGCCTTCCCAAGCCAGCATCGCCTCTGCGGGTACCACCACAAAACCCTCCCGCAGCCCAGCCGGGACCACGGTGATGAGCACGGTTTGCTTCTGGTGTCAGCCGTGCCGGGAGAGGGCAGCTGCTGGATGCCCACCGCCTCGCCCCGCGGCAGCCCCGTCCGAACAAGCCTCTGAGGACTCGGAGGTTCAGCGGGGTTGGAAGGACAAACAGAAGAACAGGGAGGAGAAAGGAAAGAAAATAGCTGAGACAGAGCCGGGGGCCTCTCTAAGAGGCAAGGGGGAAATCTCCCTCCGAGCTGCTGCTTGCTCTCCCCTGCTCTGCCCCTGCTCCGCACAGACCTCAGCAGCCTGGCCATGGCTCTGCTCCCACCCCCATAACGCCTGAGAAGAAGACCCGACATCACCCTTGTTCAGGGGAAACATCTTGGGTTTAATTTGTCTTCCCCAGGGCTGTAAACAGATCAGCAAGGACTGACCCTGAGTGCTTTAACTGCACAAGTCAGATCCCAGTCTTCCCCAGGTCTTTGCTGCAGCTCTGGTTATTTATTTTTATGGAATTTTGTTTTTTCTGACTAATCAAAAGAGGATTATTATTATTATTATTACTATTATTTTCTTTTTCCTAGCAAGTGAACAGCTTGTTTCCCCTCCTCCTTCCTCTGGAAGCCCAGGGATTAGGTAGCACTGGATATTTTTTAAGGCAAATCTTGCAGGCGGTGGGAGGCAAGCGGCACGGTCCCCCACCCGCAGCAGAGCTGGCAGCCGAGGACTCAGTGACAGCAGGGGACGGCTCCAGCCCCTTTTCCTGCACGTCACCAGCCCACGCAGCGATCCAGCCCAACGCTTGGGGCACCTCCTGGGTAAGGGGGATGGCAAAGCAAGCCTGGGGCTGAATACCTGATACAGGGTTTGCCCAATTAGGGGGACAAAAGTTATTGCCATCGTGTCCAGCCTCTTCCCAGATCCCCAAACAGGACAGCATACAGCACTGGGACCAGTCACGCAGTTCCCAGTCATGGCCCAGTTGTACTGTCCAAGCTGTGCAGAGATCTGGGGAGGTTTGGGGTCCTTTCGGAGCTGGGCATGAGGAGGCTGTGGGTGTGGGTCCCGGACAAGCCCTCAGGGGCTTGCAGGACTTTGAGCATCTACGAAGGAGTTTGTGTCAGAGTCAGACCCTAAACCCGGGTCCTTCCACATGTCCTTGCTCCAGTGCACACCATGCTGCTATTAAATATTAAGCTGCCCCAGCGTACAGGGTCCTGCAGCCGAGCTCCAGGCATTCAACCCATCTAGGTAATTACTTCATTAATGAGCCCTTTAGCTTCCCACTGCCTCTTTGCCAGCAGCTGCCAGGGATCACCCTGTGGCGCAGGGGAAATGCCAGCACTGCCGCGTACTCGCCTACGGCACCGCTCCACGTCGGGGTCCTCTCGGTAGTACTGCAGCCCCCCGTTGCGCAGCGCGTCCTCCGGGTTTGCAAACGCCTGCAAGAAAGAGTCCCCATCACATCTGTGCTCATAATGTTTTCAGGAACTTTACAGGTGGAAGCTTTGTCCCCAGTCTTTAAGACCGGTGGGGTCTTTCCTGCCCAAGGAGACCTTTCAGCCCCAGTTTCTCACACCCTTTACAAACAGATGAGTAACTGCACTTCCATGTGCGCGGTCCTGGGGGTTAATCCCTGCACCTCCTGATGGGTTTTCCTTATCCTCTGAAAAACCCAACTCTGCCCACCGAGCGGGTCCCAACCCGGGGGCTTCAAGGGAGCTCCGGCCTGATCTCACTCCACTTCTCCCAGTGAAACCCATTTAAAGGAGACTTTGGCAACCACCAAATGAGACCACTGCTGCCACAGAGCTCGCAGACACTGAGTGCAGCATCCAAAAGATAACCAGGACTGACAGATTAGTTGACCCTACAGAGAAAGAATATTTCCTTCCTGGCTTTTTGGCGGTGATACCGTGTGACTGAAACCAGCCCTGGGGAAATCGGATCCTACACTAAAGAAGTTACAAATAAAAATGATTTATACGAGCTCCCCACCTATGCTCAGAAGCTGTTCCTCAGGGACCTGGTTACATGCAACAGCGTCACTTTGCAGCCTGGAAAGGACCCTGGTGCTTTCTTTAGTTACGTTACAAGCCCAGACTGTTCCCATTCAGAAACACAAGGGGAGAAGCCAAATCATCCGTTACAACGATGCTACAGCACAGGAGTATCTATCTTTGTATTTTACCTGAGAGCAGAGATGTCTCCCTCCCACTCCATTGATGCAGTCGGAAACTTCTCAAATACTTTAAACCAGATTTTACAGACAGCTGAGTTTTGCCACGAGTTCAATTTGGGTTGCGGGCAATAAAAGGCCCAATTAACCCTGTCTCCTGACGGCAGCTAGAGCTCCGGGTCCTCCCTGTATTTCCCCCATGTCCAAGAACCATTTCCTCCAGCTATTATTTTTATTCCCCATGACTTTCTGCTCTCCCGGAGCATTCATATAGCGATTCAGCCTCCGAAAGCAGGAAAGCTTTCTGCTACATTGCAAGAAAAAAGACCATTGCAATGATTTGTTCTTAAACCTTTCTTTTGTTTTCCCCTCCTTTTCTTCCAGACATGGCAAATTAACTGTAAACAGTCTCTTTCTAGAAGCAGCTCACCTGCACGGCATTTTAGATCTGAAATTACTATTTAGATTAGGATTCAGAAATTATAAACATCAAGCTAGAGATGGTAGAAACAAACAAAAAGAGCCAAAGAGAAGTGAGATATTTATCTGCCGCAGCTACGAAACATGTTTTGCTTTCAACTTCAAAGAAAACTCAACTTGCTTCAGGAAACTCTGTCAGCCTTTACGGGAATAAAAAAAAGAAAAAACACAGAAACCCAAGGCAAAAGCCAGAAAGGGAGAAAAAGGTAAAGGAAACTGGAACTTACCTTCTTTCTGAGTCTCACTTGTCCCGTAATGATGGCAACGACATACATTTTTAAAATCAAGACCGTGCTGTAGAAGGTAAATGACATAAACACTGCGTTTTCCATCATTCTGGGGGAAGGTGCCGCTCGGTCGCCTGCAGCACTCACAGCCAGCCGAGATCTTGCTTGGGCTGCGAGAGGGCTCTGTGGGAGAGGGGGCAGGAACGGCCAGGTTTAAAGACAACAGAAGTCACCACTCTCTTTGGCGAAAGTCCACAGCCCCCGTAGACCCCTTCGGGCCGGACAGGAGTAAATGATGCAGCAGAGCTGCCGCTAAGCGAACCCAGACGGGGACACAGAGCAGGCTGCTTCTGCTCCTCACTCCCTGCCACCACCAGGTCCACAGGGATGCGATGCCCCAAGCTGGGATACAGCCCCCTCGACCGTGTGGGCCACAGCAAGGCTCAGCCTGGCCACAGCTCGACCTCTTGGCTCCCTAAAGCAGCCCACCACGATCCCCCTGCCCCACGTCCCCTCCTGTTCGTGCCCAGAGGGACGGAGCTGCACAGAGCATCCCTCGCCCCGCCAGGCACTGCTCACCCAAGGACACGAGCTGATCAGCCCTGGGAAGAAGGAGCAGTTAGGAAGAAGGTAGGCACCTACCTCAGCTGCATCCAGCCCTGTGCTCCTGCGCTCCTTCCGTGCCAGATCCCACAGCCCACCCCTCCGTGGCAGCGCTCCCAGTACTCCCCAGTCCCGCCCAGTGCGGGCTGAGTGCTCCAGTGGCAGAGGCAGCCAGCCCTTCCCTCCACCCCCCCCCGCCGAGGGACGGGGCACGGGGGACAGAACCATCCCTTGCCCCACCAGCGCCCATCACCTGGGGGCCTGGGCTGCCCCTGTACCCCCCCGGCTGGGAGGGGAGCTCCCGGAGTGAGCAGCCTGGAAGCAAAAGCAGGCAAGACGCGGACCACAAAGCCCCAAACCTGCAAATAGAAATAAACACCAGCCTGCTCAGCCCCAAAGACAGCTTGTCCTGGTTTTCTCCGAGAGGGTGAATCAGGGCAGTTGGGTGTAATTTCGTCCTCTGTCTAGAAAGTGGCTTTTGAATTTGGAGCTGGCTTTTCCCAGCCATCCAACCCTGGTGAAGAAAGAGTGGGATCTAAGCCTCTGCAGGCAGCTGAGCTGCTCTTCCAACACAAACCTTTAACTCCTTCGTCCCCAGCCCTGGCTCCAGTGCTAGCAGCAGCAAACCTCCGGTGAGCCGGCAGCATGGTGGCTGACAGGAGCTCCCCAAGTTTATTAGTGTTGAAGGGCTGGATTTGGGGTTTGGTTCCTTTACACAGGGGAAAAAAAAAAAAAAAAAAAAAAAGACTTATTTCAGGAAAATGGAAACTTTTGGGGATTGAGTGGAAAATGAATGCTTTGAGGATGTTGGAATAAAAAAATTTGTTTCAAGCCACGAAAAAGCCTCAAAAAACAATGAACGGAGTACAACGGTTTGTCATTTACAAAACGATCTATCGAAGCATGAGTGCTTCTAGGACTGGTATTGCTCTTCAGGGCTTTTCAATTTTTTAACTGCCATTGAGCAAAACCAATCCTGTCCTTTCCAAGAGGGTCCAGAGTAACCCAAGAGGAGCATCGTACCCAGCACAGGACCAGGCTCCGGTCCCGTCGCTACAGACCCTGTTGCACAAGGACAGGTTTCTCCCCAGCAATGGGACGCTGGTGGCACTCCGCTCCCCGGGGAGAACGGGCTACAGGAGCCTTTTCCTGGGGTGCTGGTGTGAATTTAAGGCAGCTTCATGCTCTGGGCACAGGTGATACAGAAATACCGTTGATGCGAGCAGGAGTCAGGTTTTATGGGCAGATCCAGAAGGTCGGCTCCTGCTCAGGAAGCAAGCCAAGAAGGAAAACAGTCACCTCGCCATCTGGGCAGCATTATCCCACCAGCCCTGGCCAGTGGCTGAGGGATGCCACAGGCCAGCCCCTGGCTCTGCCCCTGCAGAAGGGAGGGTTACACCATTTCTTGAATTCCCAGCAAACGGTCAGCACGCAGTCACACCAGGGCAGCTTTCCTGCCAGGATCAGTGCTGTAGAAGGGGTTTTGATCCTGGCACACTCAGCTCATACGTGAGCTGTGTGCTCCAGCCATCCCAGGCAAGGGCTGAGCTGTTCCTGTGCCCATCCAGAGCAGACGTCTGTCCTTCCACCCCAGTCTGCCCAGCTCCAGATCCCTGCGCTGCTCCCAGCCTGGCAGGGCAGGGCTCAGAGCCAGGAAAACCCTTCATGCACAAGATCTTCCTCCCGGCACAGAGATCTGCAAATTCTTTGTGTTTGCCTCTGAGTCTCCCACGCCATGGCTGTTCTGCCCTAATGCTGCAACCCCAAAGATGCCACAGCACTCACTGCCTTGCACTGGCTCAGCCCCAGGACATCTGAGTGTGCAGAGAGCCTTTGAAAACCCCAAACACTTGGTTTCAAGGGAGAGGTACTTGCAGCTGGTCACCACCACCCTGGCATCAGGGCAGCTGCAGAACAAGTCCTGGCACAGCCCAGTGCGGAGCTCCGCAGCTCGGCAGTGCCTGCCTCTGACAGGCTGCTTCCCCGGGGCTGGGAACGGGGGCACCAGGACACGCAGCAGCCATGTGGATTCAAACACTGCAGTAAGGGCTGGGGTCCAGGGTGAACACCCCAGCCCTGTGCTGCCACCAAACTGCATCCAACCCCACCCACGTCTCCCTGGAGCTCGGCAGAGTATTATAAACACCATAATGCCAAGCATAAGCAGCTGATGGCAAAGCCACATCCCAGACACTGCTCCCTTCCATCTCCCCTCTCCATAGCTGATAGGGAGCAAACCCGCAGTGGAGAAGACCTTGGTGGCCAAGGACTGGGGGGATGCAAGGGCCAGACCAGCCCTGCAGCAGGGGGGAAATTTTCTCCAGCAGCCCCTTCCCCAGCTCTTCCGGGAGCCTGGGGCTAGGGCAGGCAGCCAGACCCTTCACCAACACATCAGCAACACATGGAGCCACTCCAGTTTTTACCAACTGAGGATCCAGCCTGCAGGCTCTTCGGAAGCGAGACCTTTTTCCTTCGTGCACCTTCTTCCCTCCCGAGGCAGCCAGCACACCTCACTGAGCAACAGGAATACGCACAAGCTTGGTAGCACCTGCAGACAAGCCAGGACGTCTCCGGCTAGCCAGCCAGACTTTCTCCTCCTCAGCATTATTCAAGCACTGGCAGAAAGCCCTGGACAATTTGCACCAGCAACTGGCACAAATTTAAATTAATGGAGTGATCAAGAAGCACAGTTTGTTTAGGCATAAACCCCTGGGGCAGACCCAGGCGTGCGTGTTGTATGTGCTGGTGGGCTCTATGCTGTATAAAACCCATGTGGGCAAAGAAAGTTGTTTTTTCCACGTGTTTATGCATTTCAGACCCTTTGACCGTTATCCAGAGCTGAAACCCAGTGGGGAGGGCTGGTGTCTGTTGGCACAGCACCTGCGTGGATGGGTTACAAGGGGCAGAAGCTGGCTGTGAAGGCAGGTGTAGTGCTCCTGGGATTCCAGCTCCTGCTTGGTCTCTCAGGTTTAGGGGTCTTGTGTCGTGTA